GGATATAAAGGATTGAATAAATTAATAAATGGGGTGGGGGGAATTCTCCCCTGCAGATTTATATAGATGCTCTGCCCTCAAGGAGGGAGACAGTGACCCCGCTCCTTAAGTGTGGGTGGCACACAGCAACCTTCCTTCCGGAAAGGTTGTGGGCGGCGGCAAAGGGCGGCTCTGCGGTGCAGAACCCAGAGCGGCCTCAGCCTAGTGCCCCGGTTGGTCCCACCCGCGCTGAGTCCTGTGGACAGAAGGTGCCCCCACGTGATCTCCTGGCCCTTTGTCTCTGCCAACCTCCCCGACCCCATCCCCCCAGTCTAATCACGAGGAAAACATCAGATAAACCCCAGTTGAGGGACAATCTATGAAACACCTGACCAGCGGAAATGTCACGTGCTGTCCTGGATCAGAGCCTGGGACAGAAAAAGGACACTAAGTAAAAACTATGGAAATTTGAATAAAGCACGGACTCAGATTCATAATGACTTACCAACACCGGCCCCTGCTCCGCAGCTGCGCAAAGTCTCGCGCTAACGTAAGGTGTTAAGAACGGGGAAACTGGGCACAGGGTGGACGAGAACTCTCTGCACTGTCTTTGCAATTTTCCCATAAACCTAAAACTGTTGTAAAGTTAAGAGTTTATTTTTAAAAAGTTTTGCCTAACCAGAAAGTATGATAGATATTTGCATAAATTTTCCCTCTACATTTATTCATTCGACAGAAACGTGCTGAGCGCCTACTCTGCGCTGGACATTGTCCCAGACTCTGGGGCTCAACTACGACCAGTGGGGCAGGTCCCTGCGTTCGGGGAGCTGAGACCCCAGCGTCTGCCTGGAGAACACTCAGCACGCTGGAGAGTGGGGAAATCGCAGGTGACAAACATAAATGACAAATGTTTATCAAGCAAATATATGCCACAAGTAAAGGTTCAAAAAAATATACATTGCAGAACATAAAACCAATAAAACCATAGGATTCAATGCTGAAGCGCCCCCTTCACCAACAGTCAACGGTGATATCTAAGTCCCACATCTGCACGAGGGAGTCAGACATAGAAATAGTGATGTGACAAATCTCCCAGCTTTTCTGGCTTAATATTTTAAGATATCGTTACCTGTTAGCTACCGAAAAGGAATAAAAAAATAAAACCCAACAAAGGTAGTGTCGGGCGGGGCAGAGTAGATATTTACATTAACTCGTGCTGGGTGAACTACCAGGTGCCTCTCTGTGTCAGAGAAAAAATTACTCACGACATAAAGCAGACTTCATTCGAAGGGGCTCCCACAATGGGTTCCGTAGGAGGGGAGAGGGTCAGGCTCGTTCCGCCTCCGGCAGGGACAAGGGGGCATTTGTAGCCGTAGAGCAGAGGGGCGTGGGTGGAAAATCACTAAGAGGAGACCTCAAGGGTAGGGGATTCTTGCTGGACCAACTCAACAGGACTGTCGCCGAGAGCAGCCCCGGGTAACGAGATATCGAGAGTGGGAGGGTGATCAGATAGGATTCTCGCTGCACTGACCCGGCAGAATTCTTGCTAAAACTGACTCAACAGGCCAAGGGCAGAGCCCAGGGTCAGGACCCTGAAGCCTCAGAGGAGCCGGAGCCCCCCAGCAGCAATCCGACCGCAAGAGGGCAAGTGGCCCTTACACCCTTTGTCCGACAGCCCCTCTAGGTCCTTACCCCGAGGAAATCACGGAATGTAAAAAAAGAAGAAAGAAGAGGAAAAGTCAGTGATCCCAAGATACTCACAGCCGTCCTATTTTTTAAAGAAAAGTTGTCCATAGCCCCAAATTCTGACACTAGGACCCTAAACAAAGGCTGGTAAGCTGGCAGCGCCAGGACTGGCTGGAGTCGAGCTCAGCTCCTCCCCTCCCTGAGGGACCTTAACCTCTCTCTGTCTCGGTTTCCCGCTCGTACAGTGAGATTCAGGAAGGAGGAGATCGCGGCGGTAGCCCAGTGCCTGGTCCACAGGAAATGCCGCTGTTAGCGCCAGTCGGCACCATGAACTCTTCTGGTCCGTGTGTTCATGAGACCAGGGAAGGAAATGGGGACCGACGGGGCCCCTTGAGACCAAACAGGATTGATACGGAGTCAGAAGCAGGGGCAGAGCACCCCTGGACGTCCGGAGAAGAGCAGGAAGCGGCCGTGCGTCCGTGCCACCTGCAGGCCAGGCCCAGGCAGGCAGGACACAGTGTGCAGGACCGGAATTCCCAGCGGTTGAGGCACCGCCGCGTTTAAAGCCCGCAACGCCTCCGGGACGTGGAATTCTGTTAGGTCCCACCGAGAGGGGACCGAATAATAGAAAGCGAAACGAGACATAAGTGTGCTTAACTGTCCCCAGAAGGATGCAGCCTGGGTCTGAGGGGCAGGGCTGGCCAGGCCACTCTGCCCCGAGACCCTCCTGCCAGGTTCCTGCCAGGGAGGCCACCCGGGAGCTCTTCGTTACCGCGGCTCAGGGCAGTCTCCGTGCTGGGGGCGTCAGATGGGGGAAGACCTAAAGGATGGGGAGCAAACCAGGCGGATGGGGGCTGGGAGCTGTCACATGACTGCTGCTCCGCCCCACTGGCCAGGGCCTGTCATAGGGCCGGCCGCGCTGAGGGGAGCCCAGGAAACGCTGGGAAACAGAGTCTCCCCTTGGCCTCCATCCTCTCACAGAGGACGGCAAGAACAGGTGTGGGCGCAGCCAGCCGTCCCTGCCACAGCACGAAACCAGACTCCTCTGCCCCCTCCTCTCTGGCTCCGTCCATCCCGCGGGTCTCGTGCCCATCTCAGACCCTCAGAGGCTTCCGGGCTCTCCCCCGCACCGTGTAAGTGAAGGCCGATGTCCACTCCCAAAGCAGCCTGCAGTCCCCTGTGCACTCGTCACAGTGTGTGCTTCCCACACACAGGTGGCATCGCATCCATGGGAGGTCTGTGCCCTGAGCTCCCCAGGGAAGGAGCCACACCCCCGTGGGGGCCCCACGTGCCCTGTGCCCAGCCCCGCAGAGCAGGCACCCTACCCGGCGGTCGCAGGGATCCTGTGGTCACCCGAGGATTTCAGCCTTTAGTGACAGGAGCCTCCGGGAGGGGCTGCTGGGCACGGAGCCCTCCCAGAGAGCGTGGCCCAGTGGGACTGGGAGGGAGGGCACGAGACTCTGCCCCCGGGGTCCCTGGGTCACGAAACTGGCTTTGCCTCAGGGGAGGCTGCTGCTGGCCTCTGTGATGCCGTTTGGTGCAGAGGCAATCGCTCCAGCACCGTGAGCTGCAGCCAAGCGGAGCCATAAGGAAGACGGGACCACCGAGGGCAGGTTTGTGGCCCGAGGAGATTTACATTGTGACACAACACGGATCACTTCCTGCCGTCCCCCAGCACGCAGCGGAGCAGCGAGTCCTTTCAGCAAAACCTCCAGAATGCACCTCAAATCCGTCCTCATCTCTCGTCCCTACGGCCACCACCCTGGTCCTGGCCACCAGCATTTCTCGCTCAGACACGGGCGGTCACCTCTCCGTGGAGCGCGGTGTCCACCCTTCCTCCTTCTGATCCAGCCTCCACCTGAAAACGGAGAGCTCCTTTTCTCAACATGCGGTCAGTTTATGATACGCCTTCGCTAAAACCCTCCCACGGCTCAGCGTAAGAATGCCAGGCCCTCGCCACAGCTCCCAGCCCAGGTCCCGGCCCTGCCGCCCCGCCCCCTGCCCCGGCTCACAGCCCCCAGAATTGCTCCCCTCCCCAGCATCCTCTCAGCAAGGCCCCGCCCACCACCCACGGCAACCCCACCCTGCCGGTAACCTCTCCAGCGTGTCTCCTGCTTTGCTTTCTTTGGGAAACTCTAGTCTTTTTTTTTACTTGTATAGTTTTTTTTTTTGGAGACCGGGTCTCACTCTGTCACCCAGCCTGGAGTGCAGTGGCGTCATCGTAGCTCACTGCAGCTTTGAAACCCCGGGCTCAGGCGATCCTCCTGCCTCAGCCTCCCAAGTAGCTGGGACTGGAGGCGTACACCACACCTGGCTACTTTTTCTATTTTACTAGAGACAGGGTCTTGCCCTTGCTCAGGCTGGTCTCGAACTCCTGACCCCAAGCAATCCTCCTGCCTTGGCCTCCCAGAGTGCTAGGATTACAGGTGTCAGCCCACTTGTTTACTCATTTTGTGTCTCCCCAGCCAAAATAAAGGACATCAGGAACATTGTCTCATTGACGTCTACATCCCAGAGCCTAGAACCGAGCCTGGTACATAGAATGTGCTTACTAGGGACTGAGTGGGAGAGAAAGATGGAGACCGAGGCACCGAGCGTGAGGGAGAGGGGGAGGGAGAACTGTGCATTGAATCAGTGCCCCCCCCCCGCCACGTGCCCAGGTAACAAGGGAATCTCCCTCTTCCACCGCTTTGTTGGAGGTCCGTGAGGCAAGGACACCACGACCCGGTGCTCTCTCTGAGTGCCACGCGCCCTGAGAAGGAAGGCGCCACAGGGCGCTGCTCTGGGGCTATCGGGTTCCCGCTCTGTTCACCCCATCCCAGGGGCCCCTTAACACAGGCAGAACAGGGAAGAGGCACCCAGCCTGGGGTTCCCCACAGACAAGGCCATTCTTGGGCTGAGCTGCTGTTGCCCGGGCTGGGTCCTGGCTCTGGGACGCCCACCCCACAGGCCCTGGACCAGACACCCCCAAAGGCCTGCGGGGGGACCACCCAGCTCACCCCCACGCGAGGCCCCTAGGGTCAGAGTGAGCTGGGGCAGGTGGAAGGGGCTCCTTTCTGTGCTTGGAGCCCTGGGTCACCACCCTCCTTCTGGGAGGATACCAGAGGATAGAGGGAGGGGAGGTCCGTGGAGCCCCCAGGCCTCGGCTGGCAATGAAGGCGGCTGCACAAGTTCACACCCGTCCCCGAACGTGCAGGCCAGGACCCGAGGGTGTTGGCACCCACGCCACAGCGGGAGCCCTCCTCCCCGGCATGACGTTTCCAAAGATGCACGGATAAGATCAGCCCAGGTGACCCTGGGACTTTGCTCTCCCCCGCATGAGCCGGCCCCGTGCACCTGTTTGTCCACAGAGCCTGTCATGGGGCGCTCAGCTGTCCTGCTCGCTGTGACTCTGGCCACCCTCCTGGCCATCGGCGCCGCAGCGCCCGTGCACAGGCAGGGCTCCCGACACAAGCTGCTCCTTGTGTCCTTCGACGGCTTCCGCTGGAACTACGACCAGGACGTGGACACCCCCCACCTGGACGCCATGGCTCAAGACGGGGTGAAAGCTCGCTATATGACGCCTGCCTTCATCACCTTGACCAGCCCCTGCCACTTCACCCTGGTCACCGGTGAGGCCCAGGGCCTGCCCAGCGCCCAGCGGGATAAAGGGGGGAGGCCCTTGCTCCAAGGAGGGGCCCCTCACTGGGAGGCAGGGCTCAGCCCCACCGCTGGTGACAACAGATGGAGGGCAAGTGACAACACCCAGGAGGGGTCATGGCCAGGCCTTCTGGTTCCAGGTGGTGACAGTAGCACCACCCGCCCCTCAGCCCTTCCCATCCCCCCGCCCACCGCAGCTGCCCGGCCGTAGGCAGTACCGACAGGAGTTTTAAAAGGCCAAGCAGCACAAAAGGGTGGTGGGGAGCAAGAAGCAACCCCCCACCCTCCCCAGGGGCACCCGGTTTCTGTGCATCCTTCGAAGACACGAGGTCAGGGGCCTGGGGCTGCGCAACCAAGGCTCGCCAACTGGGCAGTGAAAGCAGAACGCCATGCCATGCTCTGGGCGCCAGAAGCCCAAACCAAAGTGTCGCAGGGCCGTGCTCCCTCTGGAGGCTCCAGGGGAGGATCCTTCCTGCCTCGTCCGGCTTCTGGCACGTTCCTTGGCTCGTGGCAGCCTTGCTGGGACCTTTGCCACTGGGCCCCTTCTCCCCTGTGTGTGTCTCTGTGTCCAGGTTTCCTCTTCTCTCAAAGACACAGGCGTCGGGTTCGGGGCCACCCCACTCCCGCACGGCCTCCCCTCACCCCGACTAATCACACCTGCACAGGCTCTATTTCCAATAAGGCCGCATTCTGGGGTTCCAAATGGGCATGAATTTGGGGGACACTGTCCACTGCAGCACAAGCAGCTCATGCTGACACCAGCATTTCTGCAGCCACACCCCCCTCCCACGCAAACGGGGGCGCGCAGCCATCCCTGCCGCGCCGGACGGCTGTGCTTCCCACGTCACACACGAGGCTGGGAGGGCGCTGCTGGGAGGGCTTCTGCTCCTTCTTTCATACCTTTGGAACTTAGTACCAAGTGCACGGGTTTCCTACGCAAAAATAAATATTTTAAAAATAGCTCACGGAGCTCTACTTGGTGCATGTAAATCCCTGCCTAGGATTTCACTTCTTGCCCGGGCCATGATTTACTTAAGTAGTTTCCTCCCAGTGGCCACACGGGTCACCCCCAGTCTTTTGCTAAAGTAAACCAGGCTGTGGCCGAGACCCGTGCACGAGTCTCTGTGCCCATGTGCACGTTTCGCTGCAGGAGAAGCTCCGGAAGGTGGGGGTGTCGTTGCCAGGTCAAAGCACATGTGCCTGCTCACCGCGAACTTGACCGCGGACCTTGGCCGCCTCGGGCGGTGTGTGAGAACGTCCCCCCAGCCCCACCCCCGCCGCCCCCGCCAGCCTCTCCACCCAGAACACGGGGGCTCTGGCCTCGTGCAGCTGTGCCCCTCCGTCCCCGCATCCGCCCACAGCTGCGGCCCCAGCCCTGCGCCTCTCCCTCCCACAGGCAAATACGTCGAGAACCACGGGGTGGTCCACAACATGTACTACAACACCACCAGCAAGGTGAAGCTGCCCTACCACACCACGCTGGGCATCACGGGGTGGTGGGACAACGGCAGTGTGCCCATCTGGATCACAGCCCAGAGGCAGGTAATGCTGCCCCAGCTGCGCGGCGCCCGCGAGGGCAGGAGGACGGGGGACCCGGGCCCAGGCCGTGCCCACGTGAGATCACAGCAGGCTGGGGGAGGCAGTGTGGGTGCTGATGGGGACCCGGTCCTGGCCGGTGCTCCTTGGAGCCCTGGGACCGAGAGGGATTGCTGCGTCCTCCCAAACGGAGGGGGAACTGCACCCTTGGACCCTTCAGCACAGGGAAGACCACTGTGACTCAACAGGAAAGTATTTAACAATAAAACGGCCCTCGCGGGGCTGGACAGGAGGCCCAAATTCTAAAGGGCCAAAGATAAAATAAGAGGTGGGCTCTAGTGCTGAGCCCAGGAACCCACCCATTTGCCATGCTCTGGGGGCGTCCTGGCCCAGAGGTGAGGCTTCTAGTCAACATAGTCCAGTGGCAGTTTCCAAGGGGAACCCCAAATAAACATGGGCACCTACGCCCACCTTACAGCCAACGTATCCACCCACGTAGGAGTCCCCTCGTTCCAGAAGCGTCTACACACACTCTCAGGGCTGCACCCGCCACGCCCCACAGCAGACAGCGTAGAGAGCCTGGCGCCCCACGGAGCTCAACCCAGTGAAAGAACGGCCTGGGGGCGTGGGCGGGCGGGGGGGGACACGTGTGGACAGAGGCCTGGAAGGACAGATGGATTCTAAACAAGCACCAATGGATTTATGGACAGATGAGCAGGTGGAGGGGTGGAGGGGCAGGTGGATGGACAGACAGACTCACACCCGGACCAGAGGCCAGTGGCGAGGAGACACGGCACGTCCGGGGGAGTATTTATATCCGTTGTCTTGTTTAGTGCTTGAGTCCACTGGGCACCTGTTGTCTCCTCCATAAAATCAGTGTTGCCCTGGATAGCGTGAAATGAGAGAGGTTGCCGAAGATAAAAGCCTCATGCGCAGCCGGGAGGGGGCAGAAAGGGAGGGGGGGCAGACCAGGTGCTCACGGGCGCGGGCTGGGGGCGCCAGCCGAGCAGGCGCGGCCCTCACGCTGTCTCGTCCTGGCAGGGCCTAAAGACCGGCTCCTTCTTCTACCCCGGGGGCAACGTCACCTACCAAGGGGTGGCGGTGACGCTGAGCCGGAAGGAAGGCATCCTGCACAACTACAAAAACGAGACGGAGTGGAGGGCGAACATCGACACGGTGATGCAGTGGCTCACGGAGGACGACCTGGACCTGGTCACACTCTACTTCGGGGAGCCAGACTCCACGGGCCACAGGTACGGCCCCGAGTCCCAGCAGAGGAAGCAGGCGGTGGAGCAGGTGGACAGGACCGTGGGCTACCTCCGCGAGAGCATCGAGCGCAACCGCCTCTCGAGCGTCCTCAACTTGATAGTCACGTCCGACCACGGCATGACGACCGTCAACAAGGAAGCCGGTGACCTGGTCGAGTTCCACAAGTTCCCCAACTTCACCTTCCAGGACATCCAGTTTGAGCTCCTGGACTACGGGCCAAATGGCATGCTGGTCCCCAAAGCAGGGATGCTGGAGAAGGTGTACGGCGCCCTCGAGGACGCCCACCCCAGACTCCACGTCTACAAGAAGGAGTCGTTCCCCGCGTCCTTCCACTACGCCAACAACCCCAGGGTCACGCCCCTGCTGATGTACAGCGACCCCGGCTACGTCATCCACGGGGTGAGTCGCCTGCCGGACGCACGGCTTACAGGGGGCTCCTTCCCTTTCTGTAAAAGGCATCCCCACTCCTAGCCAGGCCCCAATTTAAAGGGACACAGCTGTCACTGTATGACAGGAGTGTGAGCTTAGGGCTAGGTGTGGGACGCCTGGACAGGAGGGTGACAGGGCAGAGGCGGGCCAGCGTGGGGAGCCTGCTCGCCCCTCGGCTAGAACCCAGGGTGCTGGGCGGGAAGCGAAGTCCAGACTGGGGAGGGAGACCCAGAGTGACCTCTTAGCGCGTCCCACACAGGACGAAGGCAGGCACAGCCTCGGGCTGTCTGCCAAGTCCCCACTTGCTTGGGGTCTCCATTTACTTCTGAAGACCCCTCTTTGGGGCGACTGACCTCTGGGGCTAAGAGTTCAGAGAAAGTGAGTCTCAGAACCCCTCCTGTCCCACACTGGAATCCTCCACACGGTCCCTGCCCAGGTGGGCACTGCCGCAGGGGTGGTGGCGGAGACGGCGGGTAGGCGGGAGGGCTGGTTGCTCCCAGCAAGGACCCTGGACCCTGCCCCCTCCCCGGCAGAGAATTAATGTCCAGTTCAACAATGGGGAGCACGGCTTCGACAACGGAGACATGGACATGAAGACCATCTTCCGGGCCGTGGGCCCCAGCTTCAAGGCGGGCCTGGAGGTGGAGCCCTTCGAGAGCGTCCACGTGTACGAGCTCATGTGCCACCTGCTGGGCATCGTGCCCGAGGACAACGATGGGCACCTCAGCACCCTGCTGCCCATGCTGCGCTCAGGTGAGGGCTTTCCCTGTGTGCACGCGTGTGCATGCGTGTGTGCCTGCATGCCTGTGACTGGCCTCCCCTTCCTCTTTCCCTGGCTTCTGGGAGCAACCAAATCCCTCCTGCCAGGGCGGGCAGGCTGAGCACCGCCTGCTTGACGTGCAGGTGCATAGAAGTGAGGGTCTGTCCCGGGCGGGCTGCCCTGCAAAGCCACCTGCTGGCTCCCAGATGGACATACCCTGCTGTCCACCACGACCACCCAGCGGTCTCCTTCCCGGAGTCTTCCTCTTCCAGCCTCCCACGCACAACCCATCCCCATCCTGACCCATCTAGGGGGCAAAGGTCACCCGGGGCCTCGCTGAAGAGGGGTAGACCTACTGGGCAGGGCTGTGAGGGGTCATGGTGGACAAGGACAGCAGGACCAAGGTGTGGTGAGAGAAGTCGGGGGCTCGTGGGGGCGGCCAGGGATTACCTGGTCTGCCGTGGAGGTGCTGGGTGACATGCTGCCCTTCGCTGCCTCATGGGTTTTCCGGCTTTCCTTAGAGCCTGCTCCCCCGCCCAGCGGAGCATCTACTCTCCTGCCCAGCGGCCAGCCCCCCTTGGTGATGGGACTGCTGGGGACTGTGATTCTTCTGGCCAAGGTCGCATAATGCCTCACTGCTCAAGCTCAGAGCCCCAGAAGGCTCTGGGGAGGGTGGCGCCATGCTCCCTGTTCCTCCACGCTGACACGCCTGTTGCCCACCTCGGCAGCCAGAGCAGGGCTGCCAGCCCCACCCGGCCAGGGGCTCCAACTGGACTGGCTGCCAGCGAGAAATCGGAACCTCGAAGCAGACCCCTTCCAGCCTCTCTGCTTTAGTCTTGGAGGGGTCTTTCCAAAGCAGACAGCCAACGGCAATCTCATCCTCCCCCGCAGAAGTCAGAACCCTCCTCAGCCTCTCGCGGGTCCCATGGCCTCCCCCGCTCCCTGCCACGGTCTCTGTGTTCCACCAGGGACAACTCAGAAGCTGTCACCTGGGGTGTGTAGGGGACCAGCTGCCGGGGCTGTGCTCCTGGAGGGCTGTCCCACAGACAGTCCTGCCTTGTTTTTCCGGTCTGTGCAGTCACAGCCCTCTGGCCAAAGCAGAAGAAAGTCACTCATTCTTTCTGAGAATACATAATGAGCCAGCTCGGTGTCAGACTCTGGTCTGGGTGCGGGGACGCACAGCACGCAAGACGGTCCTGGCCCTGCACTCTGAAGTTGGTCATTGAGGGGCTGGAGCAGGCAGGAACTACAAAGTGACCGAATGAATACACAGGATGCTCAGACAGTGATGAAGGCAGGCAAAAGACGAGACCCTGGACAGAGACCGGGCCGGGGCTGGAGCGGCCTCTCTGAGCAGGCGATGTGGGGTGGGGGCGGAGTGGCAAGAAGCGACACGCCACAATCAGGCTCAGGAGCACGAGATTCCAGGCCAGGCAAGAGCCAGTGCAAGGCCCCACAGGGGGGCTGGTTTCGCCGCGCTTCCCGAGGGGACAGAAGGCCAGAGTGCGTGGAGGGTAGGCGAGGACGGATAGAACGTGAGCTCCCACGGCACAGAGGCAGGAGCCCCCAGATGAGGTGACGCAGGATCTGACGTTGATGATTAAACGAGTGCTCTGACCACCGGCAGGACACAGAAATGGGAGCAGTTAGTGGTCAGTTAGGAGGTGGCTGCAGGGGCCCAGGTAGGACATGCCAGTGGCAGGGGCTGGGACGGTGCAAAGACCAATTTGGGATACCTCGAAGCGGCACAACGTCCAAGGTTCGGGGATAGAGTACGTGCGAGGGGTGAAGAAAACAGAAACAAAGGGTGGGTCTGAGGCTTGGGTCCTGGGAAACTTGGTGACGAGCAGAGTCACTTACTGAGATGTGACAATGTTGGGGACGGAAGGAGATCAGTCTCTGACGCCCACCAAGCGTCCGGGGGTGGGGGGGCAGTTGCTGGGCAACAGGTGGCGCAGGTGAGTCGGTTCCCGGGGGTGCAGGTGGGGCTGGCAATGTAAACTTGAGCCCTGTTGACATACGACGGCGTTGCAAGCTGTGGGACCAGGGAGAGCTCCTGGCCAGAGGATGTGCGTTGAGAAGAGGTGGGTGACCACCCCGCTCACTGAGGGGCGAGGCTGGCTCGATGGCGGAAGCCGGAGTTCGTCCTGTCACGGAGTCGAGAAAAGAACGTGCTTCGGGGAGGAACGCAGAGATCCGTGTGGCAGGGAGGGGCATTCATGGCCAAATGTCAGCGCTAGAAAGGACCCAAAAGACGCTGTTGCCCACCCCCTCATGCAGACGAGGACGCTGGATCCCAGAGACGTTAGCTGGCTAGTCCCAGGGTACCAAGGGTGACAGAGCTGTCTCCAAATGCTGGCCTTAAACCCCAGGTGCTGAGCACTTCTGGCTACAACACTAGCCTCTCCACGCTTGGAGCGAGTCTTCCAGCGCACGGTGGAGACGCAGTAAGATTTCCATGGCGCTAGCGTCCACGACCACCGCTCTCCATGTAAACCGTGGGGCGGACTCAGAAAATGTCACCGTTCAGGCTTCACACGCAAAGAAATGGAAGCATTGAACAGGGAAGACACGCAACTCTCCACGCACAGCCTCGGGTTCTCCCCCAGAGGGACGCCACGGTGGTGTGCCCACAAACCAGTGCTCCAGGCCAGAGAGCCCAGATCTGTAGCCTCCGCCCTCGGCTGGGGTGCAAATGCTCCCACCACCGCCCATTTCAAGCTACCGACATGAGGTCACCAAACGCAAAGCTGGGAGGAAACTGGCAGAACTGGCTTCGGCCGGCAGCATCTGCCGGCCTGAGCGCGTGGCCCAGGGCTGTGCTACAGCCCCACAGCTCAGACTGCAAACTTCGGTACCTGCCCCGAGTCAGCAGGAGCACCCGCGACAAACGCAGGGCTTTGCGGTGGCTCAACAAAGCCCTCCTACCCCCACAGAAGAGCAGGCAGACCAGGGAGGGTCCCTCTCTCCTGGGTTCTGTACGCTGCCCCGCCAGGCCTAGGAACGCTCCCACCCCACCCCTCCCGGCCCTGGCAGAAAGGTCTAGAGCCTCCACCACCGTTCCCCACCCCACGCCCACCCCTGCACCCACCTGTGTCCCCCAGGACCAGCTGAGGGTCGGGAACTCCCACAGGGACCCTGCCCAGCCGCCCATGGGACCGCCCCCTCCACTGCCCGCTCCACACCCGGTTTCCACGACCCCTCCTCTCCTCCCGCCTACACTGGCTTGCTCTCCCAGGCAGCCTCCAGCCCTGCCCCGGAGGCCCCGCGCCTGCTCTGGCCGTGACGCTACCGGGACACGGACCGACCTGCCTCTCCCGCTTTTCCCAGGCCACACGCCGCCCTGGGCCACTGTGCCCGCAGCGCCAGCCCCTGCTGGGCAGCTGTGGCGCTGGGGACAAGCCAGGGCGCGCGGGCCCCTCCCCCTTCTCCTCCCGCCCCAGCGGCGCTGCCGTCAGCGGCCACACGGGGACGCGCGCGAGCCCTGCGGACACGGGTCTGGCCGTGGGAGGGACGTGGCGGTGGCGGCCCCCAGGTCCCGGCCCGGCCTGGCCCGGCCCAGCACAGAGCACCCGCTGGAATGCAGGACGAGTCAATCACTGCCCAACGCACGGCGGCCAGGTCGCGACAGCCACCGTGGGGCGATGCTTGTCCCAAAGCCTGTGGTTTCCCGACGGTGCTTCCCTAGACGGTCAAAAACACGGGGACCATCACTCCCTGCTGGGGGTCCCTGGGGGAGCAGCCAGTCCCGGGGAGCCCGAGGGCGGGCGGGCTTCACGCCAGCAAGCAGGGGAAGGAATGCGGGGGCTCCGTCCGCCACAGGGAGCCAGCGTCTCCAAGCAGCGTGCTCTGCAGGAAATAACGAGAATCAGATGGCGGAAACTGCGAATACGGCCCCATCGAGCGGGCGTGGCCCGGCCAGCAGCAAAAGCGACGCTTTCCCACCTTTCTCCTGGACGCTTTGAACACCGAACCACTGCCAGGACTGTGCATCCAAACCGTTTTCGAGAGCCTGGGCTTTGGAGCCAGGCACACTCACGTTCCAGCCCCCTCCCCCACCCAGAGGCTGTGGCTTTGGGTGGAAGGGGTTAAGCTCCCCCAGCCTCAGTTTCCTCATCTGAAAAAGTGGGCAAGCAATGAGGAGAGGGCGGCCGCGCTGGATTAGAGGCTGAGGCTGCCCCAGGCAGGCACTCCCTGAACCCGGAGGACTAACGTCCTGCTTGGGGAGGTGCTGGGTCTGCCAAGTGAGCTCTTGAGACCAAACCCAGCTGTAGCAGACATGTCCTCTGAAGCATGCATTTGTCAGGATCTGCCTAGCCCCCGCCCAACGAAGCCCCCTCTGCCCTCCCTGGGTCTTTTGCCTCTGCCTGGGCCTTTTGCCTCTGCCTGGGCCTGGGCTCCCCCAGCCTGCAGGATCCACCCCGACCTTCCCCTCAGCCGCCTGACAGCCTGCCTGGGGCTGGAGTCCCACCTGCGCCTGAAAGGCCTGGTCTTTGGCTTGTGGCGCCCACACCCCAGCATCCAGTAGTTCTCCAGGGAGGACGGCCTTCGCCCCACTGCCTGCAGCCACACCCCGGGCCCCGCCAGCCTGCCCACTGCACCTGCTCTGACTCTGGCTGGGCCCCGCCCTCCCTGGACAGACCCAATTCCTGTCCTGTCCCACCTGGCTGGAGACCAGGCAGAGTCCACGTTCACGTCCCCAGAGCAGGAAGCACTCACAGGTGCCAGGGTAACCACCGCAACCCCCGTCCCCCAAAGAAACCAGCCTTACCCTGAGACCCACGATCCCACGTCGGTGCGCTCAGCCCCTGCGGTCTACCTTCTAGGGACTGGGCCAGCAGACACGGTGGTAACTGCTCTTGACTGGCTCGATCAAATTGAAAAAGAAAAGACAGAGAAAGAGAGAGGAGAAGAGAGAGGAAAATAATCTGTTCTGTCTCACATTAAACATGCCTTTACTCCAGATGTCTGGTGTCGTAAGGGCACCACCACGAGAGTCCCCGTGGCAGGCGGATGACCTATTGGATGAGCTTCCTATGTCAGGAACAGGGGGAACAATTGTCCTACCAGTGCAGCGGGGGGAGGGAGGGAATGTCACCCTGAGCAGCATGTCCCTGGTTCAAACCCACTGTGACGCTCACCAGCTCTGCAGCTCTGTGGCCCTGGGCAAGCTGCTACCTCTCTGGGCCTGTTTCCTCCTCTGTAAGATCAGAAAGGGTAGCAGGACCTGTCGCATAGGGTGGGCTCAGTGTTTACGTGAGTTAATACTAATATTTGCAAACTGCCCAGAACAGTGCCTGGTGCATGGGAGGCCTCAGAGATGGGGTGGTGGTTACTTTGTATCAAATAGCCAGAAAGTCACAAACACACCCCTTTTAAATGGCCTTGTTTCTCTAGCAGAGTTTCCTGGCTGATGAATCTCAGTCTTAGACACCTCTCTTTTCAGCGGGGACGGAGACACCAGGCTCAGAGCTCTGGTGAACAACAGTATCAGGATGGCCCATCACAGCAGTTTTATTTGCACAGTATTTGTTTTACAATCATCTTCAACCGGGGTTAGTGCTACTGATTTTTTTTTTTTTTTTTTGAGACAGAGTCTCACTCTCTTGCCTGGGGCGAGTGCCGTGGTGTCAGCCTAGCTCACAGCAACCTCAAACTCCTGGGCTCAAGCGATCCTACTGTCTCAGCCTCCCGAGTAGCTGGGACCACAGGCACACGCCACCATGCCCGGCTAATTTTTTCTACATATATTTTTAGCTGTCCAATTAATTTCTTTCCTTTTTTTTTGGTAGAGACGGGGTCTCGCTCTTGCTCAGGCTGGTCTCAAATTCCTGAGCTCAGAACGATCCGCCCGCCTCGGCCTCCCAGAGTGCTAGGATTACAGGGGTGAGCCACCGCGCCCGGCCTAGTGCTACTGATTTTGATTTACATCTGTTATTTGGGGATTTTTTTCCTTTTAAAGTTAACTTCAGGGAGTTGAGCCCAGTCTCTCTCCCCAACTGCAGGACCCTGTTGCAGTGGTCCCTACCCCTCTAGCGATGATCCTAAACAAAGTCTTTTTTAAATTAAATTAAATAACAAAACATGAGTTGATTTCAAGAAAAGTGTTGAC